AAGAATCAATTTTTTGACCTTTGAAGATAGACGGCATATTGGTATTCAGCTTTCATCTTTTACTATTCTAAAGATTCCATACCATCTGAATCTTTCTACAGAAATTAAAAAAAATGCCAAAAATCCGTTTTTCGACTCTTTAAAGCCAAATATTTCAAAAACCAGAGCCAGTTGAAAAAAATTCCATGTCAGATTCTAATTTTATGGAAAAAATCATATGAGAACCAGTGGTCGCTGGATGGGACGCATGCAGTCGTTAGAATTTTGGTAGGCTGTGCAATTGATTTTATTTAAGCATTCATATAAAAGAAAACTTTAAAGTTTAGTGTACCGTTGAACCCGAAAGTTGCGGAGTAAATCACGAAAAAGCCACATAGAATACCGCAAGGCCCAGAAATCATTCTGAGAAATTTCCGAAAAATCCCGGAATACTTAGAAAACATTATTTCCATGCCTAAAAAATGTCAATAAAAAAATTCTGGTCGAGAAACGTTAATAAATTTTCTTCCTAAATAATAAAAATCGTGTAAGACAGAAATCAAAAACGATAATTTTTCACTCCGTATTATCTCTATCAGAATCTAAGGAGATAAAATTTAGTTTTATTTACAGTCTTTGGTTCGTAGGTCAAGGCTTTTGGTCACAACTGGCTCTACATTAAAGTAAACTACACTTGGAGCCAACTTAACACACTCCTTAATGCTTACCTGCAAAGATAGTTTTTTTTTTGTATCTGGAATCAGGATCATATAGATAATTTATCAAAAAAGTAAATAAGCAACCAGAATATATGTAAATACGAAGTGGCTCGATTCACTATTGATTTTAGTATTTTGTATTAAATGCTCCATAAATGAGGCCATGACAGAATAAGTATTCTACCCAAACATCTTTTTTTGTACTTACCTTCTTGAAATAGTCTCAAAGATGACAGATTTCAAAATAAAAGTATCTCGTTCCTTAATTTTAAGGTACAGTGTTTCAAAGCGTACCATCAAATTAAGGAATGAGCGACCTTTATTTTAAAATTCATCACATTTAAAAGTACATATTTTAAGAAGTTAAATACAAAAAAAACAAAATTTGTAGATTAGGCCACTTCTGCTCTCATGGCTTCAAATATGCTAGAAGAATTACGTTTATAACCTCAAAACAAATTAGCTTCTTAAATTAAACAGCAAAAGTCACCTTGAAAGGGTTACTAAAACCATTGAGTATATCTCTCTTAACTTCATATCTCACTATTTTCAATTCCCATAAATGCCCACTAATTGATTGTATGCACTAATAAATCTTCATATCTATCGCTTACAGGCGGGAAACTAAATACAATTGGCTAGTCGCTTGGCCATCAGCCAAAAGCAAAGGCTACATGCGCTGCATGCATCAACGGCCTCATTACAAGTTACTCATACGCACCGTTGCCCCGGGTACTTACACGTTGTATTTACACTGCACATCTAGTACTATCCTACTATCTATGTAAATGCAAACATGTGGGCATTCCACTGCTGCTGCTGTTTGGCTCTACTCGAACAAATGTTCTCCAGTTAATTGACATATATCGGTAAACATATCAATTACGTTTGATTGTGGCGGACAAAAGTGGTTTTGTTTTGAAATCGACAGTCAATCTAGAGATAATCCATCAATATTCACATCAAACGAAATAAATTTAGTAAGTGTGTGCGTATGCGTGCCAAGAATTAGAGAGCGACAGATATGTTTGCACGGGTGTGTATGCACGTACAGTTGACACGTAATAAATCGTTGGTTCATTGGTTGAATTATCAGTTAATTAAAATATGTTTGCATAGCACTGGTCTGACCTAAAGAATTTCGGACAGCAGTTCGGTGAAGCATTTAAACCAATTTAAATTGCACCACTCAGGTGTGCGCCACATTCAATGAGATAAATCAAAATTAGTGGTCGCAAGCAGTTTTGTTGCGTGTTTGTATGCTTTGCCAATGATTTATTCTAATTTGATCAATTGATTGCTAGCAGCTTAGTTGAATTTTAAAGCTGGAAGTTAAAGTAAAAATCTGAGCATTGAATTTTATTTGTACAGTTAATCAATCTGCAACATTTTTGCTGCATTTCACTGGCATTTATTTGCCTTGATGAATTCATTAATTTGTGCGCATATTCAGCTTGGATTTTCCTATGAAAAACTGACTGAAAAAGTTATTTACTAACGGTTTTTACTGTTACATCAACTTTTGTTTGCTTATTTGTTTGATTGTTTATTAGTCACTGCTGTGTAAATATTTGTCATTCAGTTGAATTCCCTGTCACAGGCAAAAATATTGCGGCTTGGCTGATGGCTTGGTTTTAGTGTTAGTTAGTAGCTATAACGCCACAAAGTAATTCGATTGCTTAAGCGCATGAACACACAAACATAAATTTGAATCGATGTATTGGCCTTAATATATATATGTGAAACTCGCTCATATGTATGTTTGTAAAAAAATTGCCTTGATTGCCAACACAACATATATATGTTTCTTTAGTACGTTCGATGACTTTTAAATCGGGACCTAAATTTGTACAAATTATATTTTTGAGAATTATATAGCATTTTCATGGCAAGTTTTTCCGATACCGCAAGTGAAGGCTAGGCGTTAAAATTTTTAAATCTTAAATTTCCAATAGTTCCAATAACTGATGCTAGGATATTAAAAAATTCACAACAGTTAAAATAAATTTTAATCTATAAGTTCAATACATTTTAGAATATTTTGAATAAAAAAAAATATTTTTAGAAATTTGAAATGAAAGAGTTAAAAAATAAACCAAAAACCATCTTAAAAAAATATTACAAAGTAGTTTTAACACATCGAAATTATACAGAATTATAAAGAAAGATAATTTTTCGAAATATGAATTCACTACACAAAAAAATTACCAAACAGGTTTCCAAAAGCACAATTACAAAAAAAAAACGTGCTAGGTAAAATGTTTTACTTTGAGCTTTTTGGAAACTTTCAAGTTAAACGGACGATTTTTCGGAGCATTGCGGTATATTTCGGAGGTTTATCTGTTTATTTCAGAATAGGTTGGGCTGTAATTTTGTCTGACATTTTTATGAAGGAGACCTTCGGGATTTTTCGAACTATTTCGACATAAACCGCATTTTTTCGAATATGATAGGTAGTTTTCTGAGTTTTTTTGGTAGCTTTTGGGATATTTGTGACAACCTCATATTTGCTATTTTGTTTTCATTGGGCTGTTGAAAGCATACCGAAAGATAACGGCAACACTCCGAAAAATACCGAATATGTTTCGAAATATACCGATAAATTTCGGACAAAAATGCCGCCCAACACTATCGTTTGATGTGAAACTTTACAAAAAGTTCGGAGTGAAACACGAGGTACTACAAAACCACTCCCGTGATACAGAAAGTAGTTCGAACAGATTCGGAGGTTTCCGGCAAAGTCCGAAAAGACACGGGAATTTTTTCTAAATGAATAATAAATCCCGGTAAATCTCGAAAAATTCGGAAAGTACCCGAAAATCCCGAAAAATATTTCAATAAAATATATTCAAAAAGTTTGTAAAAGTTTACAAACAAACTCGAAAGATCCAGAAAATACTGCGAAAATGAATGCAAAACACTGCAGAGAAGAAAAATTTGGAAAAATTTCGTAGGTTCCCGAAAAAGTCCGAGAAACCATTCGTAAGATCCCTTAATGATTAAATAAAATCCCGGTAAAAATTAGGAAGGGATCTGAAAATTCAGGAAAGTATTCCAAAAAGAAAGACTCAAAAAGTTCATAAAAGTTTACAAAAAAAACTCAGAAAAAGAGATAAAACTGCGAAACCAAACTGAAAAATTCCGAAAGATTCCTAAAAAGCGCGGAAAAGATTCCAACGATCGCAAAAAGCCACGAAAACCTCTCGAAAATGTACGAAAAATTCTAAGTAAAACAGAAGGGTTACAACCGCATCCCAGACAATATTCGGAATAATTTCGAAGGTTCCGAAAAGATCCGAAAACATCACAAAATGTCACGAGAAATTTCGAAAGGTGCCCGATGATAAAAAAAAAATCCCGGTAAATATTGCAAAATTCGGAAGAAATCCGAAAAAAATTGTCAAAATGTCCGCAAAGGTTTTCGGAAATAACCGTAAGGTTTCAAAAATAGTTGGGAAAAATCTCATTTTGCTTTTTAATTTTTAGCTATGAACAAAATGTTAATAAGCGAAAATTCCAAAAAATTCGGTCAAACGTTTTTCTGAACTATCTCGATGAAAGATGCATTTGCACAAAAATTTATTTATCACTCACTCATTCACTAACTACCTTACTCACACACTCACTAACCAAACTTTTTCAAATATATCGTTATATGGGAGAAGAACGCCGTTATTATCCGAGTTCAGAGTTGTTCATACATCTGTTGACAGAGCTTGTCTCTCTTTAATGGTGGATGATAAGACTCTTCTAAAATTTATCAATAGTTTCTCCTGCGATCTCCAGTCTCAAGTAATATACAATTTGCGTTGATTTTTTGGACACTAGAACTGTTAGTTATTTGGCGGTCTCTCGAATACTTTGCTTTGGCAGGAAGTGAAAGCGATTTCACTAAACACAAGGCAGAGCTGTATCAGAGCATATGGACATGTCTCCTACAAAGCCACAAAGCATTTATCGTTGATCTCAGTTATTGCTCCTATGCTGTAAAGTCCAGTTTAACGCGTAGTTAGTCATTCATAAGTCTTATACAATTTGAAAACATTACCAAATACCTCAATCCATTCTTTGATAAGTGATATGGATTAACTAGTGATTAGTTTTCTCTTATCAAGAAAAGTTTTGATTACGAAGAATACTAATAAATTTTTAAGTCCGACAGGAACCATAAACAAAAAATTATTATCACATAGCAAGTAGTTACAGATAATAAATTAAACGACTTAAGTACACATAGGAATATGTAACTACGAGTGCATGATTTTTTTCACTTGAAATTCTATTTCATTTGTTGCCACCACATCAGTGCTCTTCCCAAATCGGTGCATTCTCGATTTTCAATTCCTCAACACCCAACAACCCAGTCGTGTGTAAATCCTCCAAAGGCAAATGCGTCACTACCTTCAAAAAGTCATCAACTGCGCAAGCGTATGAGTAACCCTTCATCAAGTTATCCTTATTCCAGCCAATCCAATCGATGCGTCTCCCCACATCTTTGCAAATTACATAGTCTCTCTTGATTTCCTCCAATGATATATGCGGATTATTCACACCCAACAACACAATGCCTTTACGCGATTCGCGATCGATTACAACGCGGAAGTACAACATTGGCACTGGTATCAGTCCATTATTATTCTCATCGAATGCCAAATACAGCTCCTGCTGCACACCATTAACATCCGGCAGTGTAGACACACCCCATATGCCAGTGTAGCAGTCCAAGGTCAACGCTTGATCGCTCGCAAAACGACGCACACCATCCTCGATGCGCTCCCAATTACCGCCATTGAACATCTGCCACTGAGGTGCCGCGTTCACAAAATAGAATGTAGCCTTTTGTGGTGCACCGAAAATGAAGTCCACCTTGGCGGCCATGTGTCCGCGCGCCATGTACACATCGATGGTATCATTGAAGTAGGGTGACGCATCCATGCCGAGTATCTGGCTGATAGTTTTGTTCTGCTCTACCTTTGTGTACAGATTATTCACATTTTTGCCATTGTAGAAGTCGCCAGTGATAAAAGAAGGCCGTGAGACGCCATGCTGATAGCCATTGCTGGAGGGATTTAGCACGTGGTGGACGTAGCGTGTCACCTCATTCACTTCGTCGTGACAAATGTCCATTGTGGGTAGAAAACCAGCTTCGAGTTCGAAGCCAACTTCCAGCAGATCGGTGCCACCATTGCAGGGGCGGCCGGTACGTCGCGCGGTGTATGCTGGCCAAGCAGTGCAGCTGAAATTGGCGAATGGATAGATGAGTCCGTCGACCAGGAAGTACTTCTTCTGCAGGCACTGTGCTGTGACCTTTGTGCGATTGGTAAATGGCGCCATAAATGATGTGCTGCAGTACATATCGATGTAGGCGCCATTGGAGAGCTCCACCACACCGGCTGCATTGGGCACAAGCCAGTCGAAGTGATTGTGTGGCGTAAAGATCGGCGCTGGATCGTTGAGTTCGCCATTTATGTCGAATGCGCAGTCACCGCGCACTACAACGCCCGAACCGCTGTCAGGTAGTGATGTAGCGGTTGATGGGGGTGCAGTCAGCGTTGTGTTGAATGGGCTGTCAGTGGTGCTATTGTTTGGACTGTCAGTTGTAATGTTCGATGGTGGTGTAGGGTCTGTACCCTCCACCGCAGCTGCTACGGTGCTGAGTTCAGTATACCTCTGGCGTTGCTTGGACTGCAGTAGACCTGCCTGCACTGCGATTGAAAGGCAGAGCAGCGCGAAAAAAAGTTCTAACGTTCTTTTGGTCTTTGCCATTTTAATGCTCACGCTCGACTAAAACGCTTTTAGAAGGTGTATTTGGCATATAAATATTTAGTCGCACGTGAACGATAACTGGTGGGAAAATCTTATCATTTTAAAGTGGTAAAAATGCTTTGTCGTCGCTGATATGCAGTAATCTTTATTGGTGATAAGTTAAAGTCAATTGTTTTGGTAGCAAGTGCTAAAAATTAATTAACAATTCATTGAGACTTCATTAAAGATGTTAAGTAATAAGTTGAGTGATATTTTGGCGTAGTTTTATGCGCGCTGCACTATTAACCAAAAAATTACACATTTTGCAGGAGTCGCACAACGTGCGTTTGAGAGAGTGTAAAACTCCTATTAACAAGTCAATCGTTGTGATTAGGGTGCAACTTCCGCTACTGTGTAAACGTGGATCACGTTATGAGATCTATGAGGTTGGCACTTAATTTTTTTTTATTTTATAAATTACGTAGTAAATTTTTTTTGCAATACTGTTAAATGCATTCCCCGTTTAAAAAAGCTCTAAAATGTTACCTTTATATGCTTTATACTTTGATTTGGAACAATAAATATATTCAAAAATAATGGATCCAACCCTTCTGTTTAAACATGCTCAAACGGAGTCAGCCATCCTCACACCCTCACGACATTCTTCTATCTCAATAGTAACTTTGACATTCGCTTTAAAGTATAGGTACGGTATCACATATTTGAATCGTTCAGAGTGTGTTGACGCTATTCTACTGTGACCGTAGAATGTGTTTTTAGGTTATATTCTTGGCCCACAGTTCCGCCGGTATGTATAGTGCTTCCAATATTTTTCTTCTTATCCTTGTTTGGCAGTACAACGTTCGTCGGTTTGGGCCGAGGTCAAAAAAGTCTCTTTGCGAGTTTGCTGCAGTTGTACATCCCGAGTACCGACAGGTCCGTCAGGTTCGTCAAGAAAGGGTTCTGCTTTTCAATTGCCTACCGAGCCTAAAGTAGCATCTGTTGGCAAGAGTTATTCTTCACTTGATCCCCAGGCGGACATTGTTGGAGATGTTTTCCGTGGCAAAGGAACATAATTCAGCCTAATACGACCCTAGGATATGCTGCTTAACCTTCAGCCAGTCTGTGATCTATGCACCATTGTCTCATGACCTCAGTAGTACCAGCGTCATCTCCAGGCACTGTACATCAATGCTCCATCGATGACGTATACCAACAAGCTCTGTAGAAGTTGACGTGAGGAGGAAGAAGAGCTTTTTCAATAGTTTCGTGGAGAAGGCGGAAGTGAAAATATCGGAGCTCCACAGCTTCATCCGGGATGGTATATGGTTTAACAGACATTAAACTGAAAGTATGGAATAACTTCACATATTCACAATGGGCAAGTTTGCTTCCGAGTTGAAGTACGAGTCGTCCGTACGCGCCTTCCAAGCCTGGTCTTACCTAACCTAACAGTTTTAATGAGGCACTAGTATGGGTACAATCAGGGGCGGATTTAAGCACAGGCTACATAGGCCCTAATACGAGCTACAAACTATCTCCACAGATTCAATAGCTGTTTATGTGTATGTATGTGTATAATCTGCTTATAGACATTACGCTGAATTCTTGATGTGCGTAAACCTTTGAAGGATACGAGTGGAAAATTACCTGCAGTGTAGTTTATTTATTGTCTCGTGTAATATTTTTCACCATTGTGTGCACCTTTGATTACAAGCGCACACGTGCCTTTTGAACTACTCTCCATATATTCTACTATGCTATTGACTGCATTCAAGTAAATACATACATTAGGCAGGTCCTTAAAAATATCAAAATCTGAATTTTGTATGGAACACTCCTTTATTTTGTTCTAAGTATGAATTTAAGATATCCACGATATAGCTATAATAATAAATTATCAATACTTATTCATTATATTCGCCGATTTGAATAATAATTTGAATAAAGTAAGTTTCACCTCAATTATAATTTCTATACATTTTAAAAAATATCCGTTATCTCACCGTTATTTTCAAAATTTTATAACCATTAAAAAATTAGTTTTGGAGTCCATTTTTAAAACTAAAAACATTTTTAAGTAAATATAGCAAATTTTCAGTGTTAGAGAAAAAAGTATAAAAAATTTATTTTTCTTTCGATCTTGGTCAAATAAGAATTTGAGTGAGCTTCCTGGTTTCGACATTTCCTTAAGAAAGGACTTTTTTTTTATAAAAACCACGAAAATTCCACAAAATTTTGAATTTCACCAGCTACAACTCAGCTAATTTTAGCCCTATCAAAGTGACATATCTTCAACAAAGTAGAGTAATATTTAGAACTTAGGTAAAATTTGAAAAAATTGCTGCACTTTTTCCGAGAAACTTACAAGCAATTCTGGCTAAGATAGTAAAAAGTCTTTCATAACACAAATGGCAAGATTGTTCGAAAAACTTTTGTTATTCTAACACAAAAGTTTTTAGAAAAAAAGTCTTTCAATTCACCACTCGTGGTGAACAGCTATTTTGAGCGAAAGCACTTGAATAAAATTTTGCTTGCGTCGCTCCAACGGTCGCAATAGCCGAGTGAGCAAAGCACTGGCGTGTCATCTGGGAGAGATCTGGGTTCGAGTCTTCGGGCAGCGGAATTTTTTTATTTTTAATTTAATTTCTTTTTAATTCTAAGATCGTATTGTTTAAAAAAAATATGTATTTTTAATTAAGTTAATCTTAAATGTGTTATTTTATATACCTTTTTCAATAAACATTTTTTGTTCCTTCATTTAATTTTCTTAAAATGTTTACGTGTGTGTTAAAAAGAAAACTATTTTTTAATTTCATTTGGTTTTTAGTAAGTTATTTTATTTTTTTAGTTTAATTTCCTTTTACTTAATTATTTTATTTCTTAAAACAGAAAAATAATTTCTACCTTCATTTAGTTTTTAGAAACTTATTTTCTTTATTTTTAGTTTTCTTTATTTAAGTTTTTTTAATTTCATTTTATTTTAATTTTTGGATTTTATTGTAAAAAAAAATATTTTTATGTCATTTAATGTTATCTATAATATCTTGTTTTATTTTTATTTTTGTATTTTAAATTTAATTTTTTGTAATTTTTAGATTTTATTTAATTTTTAAATACTATTTTCCCCTTTTTTGATTTAGGTTCCCCTTTTCAAATTTAATTTTTAGATTTTATTGTTTAAAAAAGAATTTTTTGAATAAGATTTTTTTAAATATTTTTCTTTGTTTTTGTTTTATTTTTACTTTTATTTTCGTTTTTCCTTTTTTATTTTTCTCATTTAATTTTCCTTTATTCTTTACCATATATATTTTTTAATTTAATTTAAAAGATATTTCAACTAGTCTGTCGAAAACAAACAGACACTAGAGAACTTTCAAGATAGTTGTCAGAATATACAATTGTCTTACGAAACACTTTTCTCTTTCGAAAGACTGTGGTGAGTTGAAACTCTGTTGCAAGAATTGCCCTGTTGAATAAATGACAGTGTTTGTATCTTTGTATTGCATGTTGAATCCGTCTGGCGATGACTATGTGTTTATGTGAATATGTCAAATTTATCAGGCAAACCCCTTTTTAAAACTATGGTAGTAACCCATAAAAATAGTTTAAAGTTTTTGAAATTTTCGTGGAAGTCCTTAATCTGTACATAGAACAAAACAAGGGCGTGTCCCATACAAAATTCAAGTTTTTATATTTTAAGTACCACCCTAACATGCATTAATACATATTCCCGCTGAGTCACTGCTGTTGCTCTATTGCAACACAATAAACCAATTTAAAGAAGCCATATGCGCATAAAATGCTCAACAATAGAGCCCTATTACATATGAATACCTATGCACGTTATCCAACATTTTAGCAAAAGCACACAGAGAGCGTTGCACAATCAGTTTGATGGTCGAGGCAACAATGTGATTAATAATGTAACCAAAAGTACTGTCGATAGAGGTGAAATAAAAAAGTAGGTGCAAAGAGTGGGTACAGGGCAGTCTGATTGGTTGATAAATTACTCATATGGCTGAAAAATGTGCACATTAAAGCGTTTATGTAGTTGATGCGTAAGCAGAAGTATATGTATGTATGTATGCGATACGTTTTTCTATTAGAAAAAGGCTGAAAAAGAAAAATTTCCTAAAAAAATTTGAAGTAGATAGGTTTTGCTAACTCAGCAAAGCAGCATAACAATATGCAATGTAATGGCATGACAGCTAACATATCGCTGCCTTACAAATTGGTCAGTTTTTATATTTATTTTTATTTTTTCATTTCACTTTCTCCTTTGCTTTTCTTTCCCTTTCTACTACAGCCACTTGTAGATCTCACCTCGCATGCATACTTTTAGGTGTTTAGGCATTTGCCTGTTGTTGTTTTTTTTACTGTGGTAGCCAGTGCTTTTTGCACAGCTTGCAACAGTTTTATGCTGTGTTTTGTAATCTTACAAATGTATTTCGAAAGACAGCTTGATAAACTGCCAGCAGACGAAACCTCATTCGGTCTGCGCTTTGGGGCAAGCAAGCATTGCACGAAAATTTCCGTTTTTTTTCGCACAAGCAAGTGCAGTAATATGTAGCTTTGTTTTCTGGCTACACCAATTCTGCTTGCATTTTTCTTTTTCTTTCGCTCTTTACCTCCCACTCTGCTGTTAAATCCATTGGTGTGCAGTTGATTCTGCTAAAAATGCTCTTACTATTTTCATTTGCTCGCTTAGTTACATAGTGGCATGCTTTTTGTGGCCACAATGGAACTATTGTCCGTCAGATATGCCAGCCATTTTGTGAAATGATAAAGCTCTGATTTTAACTTTTTTGTGTTTGCTTTTCGCATGTCTTCTGTTGTTTGTTGTTTACAAATGATCACTCATTCGTAGAGGACGAGTAACCGGTTGCACGAGGTGGTATTCTTTTGTGTGTAACTAAATTGTTCTCGATTCCGGGCATACTTAGGACTGCTGCCTCGGGTGTTATTTAAATCATGCTTGTATCGAGCAAGTCTTTAGCGACGAAGCACTTGTTCTTGTT